TGCTGATCTTGTGACCTTGCAGCCCAGAGGCTTTTTGAGGTTTGACCCGCAGTGCCACCACGTCCCTATTCTGGAATTCTGGAATGGATGTGTGTATCTTGATCCAGTTTTCAATTCCTTTTGTTTCTCCATGGGGTTACTTCCCACAGGATATATTGAGTCAAGCATGTATTTAATTAAATGTAACACACACACACCCCAACTGCAGTTGTTTTCACCATTGCATAATATTTATTTTGCTCTGTGTCTCATCTTGGTGCACTAGGGGTATGAGGGTAATTTCAAAAGTGCAGGTGCTCTTCTTGACAGTCTGTCTAGAGCCTGTGAGTGAGTGTAGTGAACCTTAAAGGCCATATGAGCCTGATGGGAGTGCCAGATGATGCTGTTGTCCTTTTGGATCATATTCATATGTCTTTATGTCTATGAGAGATGATGCTGTTGTCCTTTTGGATCATATGTCATTCACATGTCTTCATATCTATGAAGTTTGATTTTATTCACAACTGATATCGTAAATATCCCAGTTCCTCATTGTACTGGGCCACTAAAGCAACATCAGAATAATCTTTTTTGTAGCTTATACCAAGGTGTTCCCTCCCCCCGTCTGGCTCAGAATATAAATTAAATGATTTCCAGTAGTATTTTGCATTGTACATTCTCATGGTAAGTAGTAACTTATGAAAATGAAATATATATTGCACTGCCTAGCTGGGTTGCTCTGTCCATCGTTCTGTGAACCAAAAACCTGCTCCTAGAAGAACAGCAGAACTGTATACAGTATAGACTGTATAGACTCTGAACTTCTGCAAGCTTGCCCATCCATCTCTACTTGCAGTCCACTCAATAATGTGCATTAGTTCTCTTTACAAGAGTAGATCAAATGATAATAACAACAAAATTAATTAGTCTCCAGAGACTTTTCCTTTTTAAAAAGTTCCAAGAATATACAGACTGTGTTTGTTTTTGTTTTTTGCTACTTTTTATTTTGTTTTTGTTTTGTTTTCCCATTAATATAATGTTTACACAGGAAAAACTGTACGAAGTGATGGCTGGGACACAGAAACATACAGGTTTTCAGGAATCCTTATTCATTTGCCATAGTTTCTTTAGATAAAGAGTATGCTTTGACAAAAACATTGCCTGTAGAAATCATGTTGAAGGAACGGGAGTTGCAGTGTTTTGTAATGGTTTGTGCCCCACAACATACAATACTTACAATGCAAACTTATATGTAAGTTCATAATAGTAGTCTTATTTCATGGGTGTAAAATATAAACTTGATCTTTCACATTACAGTAGTATGGACAGGATGCCTGCTGCGGCTTGTGTTTGAGTAGGTAATCTAAGAACCGGTATGGTGTGGTAGTTAAAGTGTAGGAATGGGAAGTCCAAGATCACAGTGGTATTGATCCAATCAGTCTGACCTGCCTCATAGGGTTCTGAGTTGAAAGCAAGGAGGGAGAAACCTATGTCTACGAGTTTAATGCATTGGAAGAGAAGGAAGGAAGGAAGGGAGGGAGGGAGGGAGGGAGGAAGGAATCAATTGATCAAGTTGGAATCAAAATAGTTAAAAATCAGGTGGCATATTTGTGATTTATCCACATATTGATAGTGTGGATAGGAAAATGATAGCATTTTATTAAACTACAGTGGTGCCTCACTTAACGAGGATAATCCGTTCCAGAGAAATCGCTGTAGAGTGAAATCCTCGTTAAGCGAAATAAAAAATCCCATTGAAATGCATTGAAAACCTGTTCAATGCATTTCAATGGGATTTTTTATTTCGCTTAACGAGGATTTCACTCTACAGCGATTTCTCTGGAACGGATTATCCTCGTTAAGTGAGGCACCACTGTAGTTTAATAAAATGCTATCATTTTCCTATCCACACTAATGGGCTGAAAACTCACTGTCCAATGAAGATCCTCCATAGGGGCGGCCATTTTCGGTGCCTGTAAAGCGAGGAATCCGTCCAAAAACACAGCGGGGAGCCATTTTACACAGCGGGCGGCCATTTTGAAGCCAATGATCAGCTGTTTTAAAAACAACATCTAGCGAAAAATTGGTTCCCGAAGCAGGGAACCGATCATCGAGAAGCGAATTTTGCCTGTTATTGTTTTGCAATCGCAAAAAAGTCATCGTATAGCGGTTTTGTCATTTAATGAGGCAATTGTTAAGCGAGGCACCACTGTACAGTTCTCAATTTAATGGAAGCTAACTCAGTGGTTGAGCTAAGTTCCCAGGTCCAGTTCCTGGCATCACCAGTAGAGTGAGAAGAAGTCTTCTCCTAAAAGAACCGCTGTTACTCAAGATGCATTCAGACATGTTCTCCCCGTGTACTCAGTGACCACATGATGGGGGAGTGGGGCCACATCCAGCGTTGACTAGTAGTTACAGATTCTGGGTGCTGGAATCCAAAATATCTGGAGAACACCTGGCTACTTATTTCTAAAGAGTCATGATCATCATCATCTTAGAGCTGCAGAGCTTAGAAGGAATCTATCGGTCCTAAATCCAGCCCCTACCAAGGAGGCACAGTAGGGAATCAAACACCCAATGTCTGGCTCCACAGCTAGATCTCTAAACCACAGAGCTATTTAGCAGTTGCCACAATTCAACTATGTTCTATCTGAGTATATTTATATTAAGATATAGGTTTGTGGAAATCCTTACAGGCAAGAACCTCAGTTGCTACCTAAGCAGGGAGAGAAAGCATGAAAAAAGTACAAGGTAGTCAAAATCTGTTCATTTGCTAGATTTTCTTCTCAGAGGTCAATAGTAATGGATGACAAGTAACAGCGTCAACTTCAGTGCATTACTTTTTGAGATATTAAGTGTATAATACTATTTTAAAACAAAAAAGGAAGAGAAAGGAGACATATTTACTTTCTTAGTATAATAAGTTACATGTTTAGGGGAGATTTTTGGCCCCTTTCCCAGTTATTAAAGTATATTTGCATTTTAAAATGTATTGAAAAGTGACACACTATTTTGTCTCCTGAAAAGGACAAAAGCTGATCCCACAGCTATAAATACACAACTCCCAAACAAACTGCACCAGAGCACAGAGTGCTACTCCTGCCCTCTGAAGATGCCGGCCACAGAGACTGGCGAAATGTTAGGAAGAACAACCTTCAGAACATGGCCAAAGAGCCCAAAAAAACTACAACAACTATAATACACTATTAACCTGTCATTCTCATTGTAGCTTGTTTTTTTTAAAAAAAGCTCATACATTACTGTGAAACAAATAATACTTCACATATCAACTTACACATTACTTCAAAACAAATAACATTCCAAACTTGGTTCATCTCTCAAGTACTCTAAATGTGTGAGCACTTGGGCTCCTTATTAATCACAAAACACCATACAAAGTTCAGTTGTGGGCATTTGTTGTTATTTCCAATAGATAGAGTAGTAAAGCCAAAATGATATTTCTGTGCCATTCACTCAGAAAACTGATAACAGAAATTTGGATTCCTGATTCAAAAGTTTTCACAGCATCTGTCTCTAAAATGCACATCTGTGTGTGTGTGTGTTTGTGTGTGTGAATTCCTTTCTATCTCTATCAGATATAGCTCTTCCTAGTGCTGTGTGTGTGTGTGTGTGTGTGAATTCCTTTCTATCTCCATCAGATATAGCTCTTCCTAGTGTTTGCTTGCTTGTTCTCCTCAGTTCAACCTTCTCCTGATTCTTATACAGTCAACCATTTGTTTCATGAATAGCCTTATCCTATCAGCAGAAAACATCACATGATTGTATGTAAGCATGGTTATACATATTCCACACAAGATAACTAATTTCTGTGCCAAGATGAACTGGATTCCCTTCCAAGACAGTTATATGCTTTGACCATGTATGCATCATGCAAACTGAGTCTGTTCACACATATTTGATCACTAGGTGTCCAGAAGGAGCAGGGTCTTCTCTGTAGTGGCTCCAAGTTTATGAAATGTCTTTTCCTGACTCCAGCTCTGTGCCTTGCAAAGACCTACCTTTTTATAAAAGTCCTTTTAAAAAGGCTGAATTATTGTTTATAATATTCCTGTTATAATATGCTTTGTTCTCACTTTTCCTGAAATTTATTTATTTATCATTAATTTCCTGGAGTTATGTTTTTAAAATAGTATGAGAAGAGCTAATAAAGCTGATAAAACATTTACTCAGAAGTCCTACAGAGTTCAATTGGACCCGATTCCAACAGTCCCCCACCACAATTGGAGATTAGGTTGCTACTTTGGTTCCTAGTATGCCCCAGCACCACCCATGTATAATCATGGACTGTACATTTCCACAGTTCTGTGGATCTTTTCCTGTCTCATGAGCACGCAGTGGCAGTTCTTCATGCCATTATGCTATTATTTTTCTCATCCAGTTCTTCCAAAGAGGTAGTTCTTGGGGAAGACTGTATCAACAGCCTTTTATGAGTCAGTCCTAGAGTATGGACATTAATGCAATTTTACACCATTCCTTTTTGTAAGCAAAATTGCTTTAGGGATTTTAAACGGTCAGGAAAAGAGCACTATAGAGTCAATGGTAGGACTGCATTGCAATCTTAACATTGCAAACAAATGAGGAGGCTCACAGACATTTGCTCCACAGTCAGCTAGCCCACTTGCTTGGATGGACATGATTTCCTTTTCAAAGTCTAATGAAAAAAAATGTCACCAGTTTAACACTTCATTGCTGGATTTAATCATTGCCAGGACCATAGAATGTTCTGCCCTCTTTACAGTGTGTATTTTCCAGAGCAGCATTTGTGGGTGTTCGTTTCATTTTGTTTTCTACCACAAAACACAACACGGTTTGTTTGTTTTATTATCCAGCATTGGGAGAGGGGATGTACATGTTTTTGTTTTAAAAATACACTCTTAATAGTTTAAATGTATACAGTATATGTATGTAAAATTATAGAGTACAAACTGTAAGTACGAACTGTAAAATTGCCTGCAGGTTTGATATTTTTAAAATAGATCTTTTTTCCTCCCATATTGCAGATCTCGCCTTGCAGATTTTTTCATGAACTGCCAACCTGAGTCACGGTCTGTTAGTAGCTGTCTGAAAGAAAACTATGCTGACTGTCTCCTCGCTTACTCTGGACTTATTGGTAAGGTTTGCCTTTTCTTGTTTGTTTTTTCCTGTGTGGGAAGTGAGGCTTTTGTACTGTATTTGGTTTGAAATGAAACAACGTGGCGAAAGGAAAGCAAAAAAAACAACTAAGATATCTTGGAAAGTTTCGCAGAATAGCAGAAATATAAGAAACACCCGTGTGCCAGACATCACTGTGTAATTAGCTTCTATAAGAATTATTTTCTATTGTTCTTTGACTTAACTTCAGTCGAGTTTTCAAAGCTTCAGTCCGGAGCATAAAGATGGCCATATAGAAGTGAAGTCAAGCAGACAAAAAGATGAAGGTTGTGAGCGTTCTAATGCTGGAGGCATTCAAGAATTATACAATCAACTGTCAGATCTGCTATGATTTCTATTCCTGCATTGAGCAAGGGGTTGGGCTCTATGGCCTTATAGGCCCCTTCAGTTATTCTATGACTCTATGAAGAGGCTGATAGAAAGGAAATAATGTTTTGAATGAAAGAGTACTTTTAAAGAATTACGTTTGATTTTGTTCAATTTGAGGGCAGCTAGTCACATGCTAGCAAGTAGCTGCTTTGCAAAAGAAGGTACATCAGAAGTCATATTCTCATGTCTAACTTGTGCAGCAACATCAGCTATATGGAAGGAATCCTGCTTGCACAGCTGGATCTTCTTAGTTGAACTGAATAATTTTGCTCTTAAATTTTAGGAGTGTCGTGACTATATCATCATCATCATCATATTAGAACTGTAGAGCTGGAAGAGCCCCTATGGATCATCAGGTCCAGCCCCTGTCAGGGAGGCATGGTGGAGAATTGAACTCTCAAGCTCTAGCTCTGCAACTAGATACTTAAACAACTGAGCTACCCAGCAGTATTTTCTTATCCTTGAAGCATGAAACACAGGAAATAATAGTTTTCTTTAAAACAAGTCATGAAACCCTATGAACTTTGTTTTAATCCCAAGTTCATTTAAAAACAACAACACACAGTTCTACTGTTCTACCTAATTTCAGAAGCTAAGAGTGAATCCACAACAGCTTCCATGATGGGCCCTGGACCCACCAAAATTCCCCCACCCCATCTTATCACATACTTTTCTTCATCTCAGAGTCAAATTCATACTATGGTTTCCTTAGGACAGAGCTAAAGATCAATTCCTTTGATTACCACTTAAGATGAGTTGTTTGCAAGTGTTTCACCCTACGACTTGCCCTTATCATGTGATTTCCATAACTCTTGCCTTCTTCACACCATTCCCATGCAAGCCTTCAACAACTCTAAACATGGAAGAGCTCAGGAGACGGAGTATGCCACCTCCGCCACCTTTTTGTAGGAAGGTGTCAAAAAAAACTGTCATCAACTGAAAATGGTTACAATACTCCCTGTGACTGCAAACCCCTTGCAAACACAGGTGTGGAGAGATGAGGTCTGTGGCTTCTCCACTCTATTTTTGAGCACCTGTAAAGCTATGTTTTCCATATAGAGGTAATAAAATTAAATGCAGTTGGGTTGAATTAAACACAAATACTGTTTATGATTATAGCATTTGAATCTCCCACACGTAATTTGGAAAAAATATATATTTTGTTATGGAAAATAGCTTCTTGCAAAAGATACCAGGTTGTAAATGAAAGAAACCGTATTATCTTTAAAAAATGGTATCTGAAGTTATTTGTCATTTGTGTTTGTGAAAGCTATATTATCTCTTCAGATCAATGTCACACTTAACATTTGGCTTTACCATGGCTTGTTGTTGCTTGGATGGCTGTCAAATTCCACAGATTTTACCTCAGAAAAAGACCCTGAGCTGATCTTGTACTAGTTCCTGCATGGAAAGTGTCATCCTAAGGAAGTCAGTATTTGGAATGTAGCAGCCAGATAGTACAATAAATATGTTTGTGTATAAGTGAAACATAAGAAACAAATAGCAAAGACTACAGACTATACTTTTTTCACATTCAGATTCTGTAGCTATCACAAAATATTCCTATTTTTCCTGTTTCAGCTAGGTGTGAAAACTACAGCTGAGACTCCTGTAGCATTAAGCAAATTGTTTCTGATGAGATAGCACCTAACGGAAGCATGAACACAATCAGATGCTTTTGTACTGTAATGGGAGGTGTTAAGATATATTAGGGAAACAGTTTCTTTAAATGTGTTGTGAAATACTAAGTACTGTAGAATGAAAAATTATAAGCCCATTCCCCTATAAGTGAATATGTAAAAATCAGTGAGACCATTTCTGTGTTACCAACAAAACAATGCTCTGTTATTCAAAGGCTTGTGTATAGTGGTCCCCAAAATGTTTACTGTCACTAGATGTTGTCTCTTTAATTTTCATGGGCCAGACTGCCACCACTTCTATATACCCTTTAGTCAAGTCCATCTACAGGAAAATGAAAGACGAATGATGACTGGGGTAAAGAAATAGCTTCGACAAGCTTCATAAATGGCTTTTATAGAAGCAAATGCAAAAGGAGGACTTAACTAGCTTCAGATAAAAAGAAGTTGACTCTAGGACCAAGAACTGAATGTCTTAGACATCAGATCCAATCAAGTGATGTATGGGTGCTAGCTCTTGGCAAGAAATAACTTTGGTACTAATGGATAACTCAGAATAACAGCTGCTGGCAAGTCGTTCTCAGACACAGTGACTTTTGCTGAGGAATTTATTGAAACCATTATGCAATTTAACCTTAAGGATAACCCAGTTTCGGCAAAGAGGTGCTTTTATGTTTCCAAGGGCAAAGATACTGCACAAATGCTAGAAGAAAGGCAGCAAAAACACTCTCTGGCATTGAGATCAAGGGAATGAGTCCCTAAGGAAGTGAAATCAAGTGGAGATCTGACTTTGGAGGGAAACTATACATTCTTCTTCCTTGCCAGCAGCCCCAGGATACAGACAAGAGGATGGAAACTGACTAGTATCACCAGAGTTCGTGCCTCTCTTGTAGCAGTTATTCTGGATTTATTTATTATTTTTTTGCAGTCTTTCAAAACAAGTTTTCTTATTTTGTAATACCAAGTGCTCTATCACATTAGGTTAAAGCTAACATGAATGCATTACTGTAAAGCAAAGATAGGAAACATATGGCCATCCAGATGTTGGACTACAACTCCCAACAGCTCTCACATGCATGTCCTATGGTGAAGGATAATGGGAACTGTAGTTTGTGAAGGGCACCTACACATTCTGTGTGGATGAGCAGATCTGTCAAGCTTGTTTTTACACCCCCAAGCACATTCTGCTGGGTTCTATGCAAGTTCCTTCCTATCCTGGCATAGAAATATGTAGCTTTTTTTAATGCAATTTTTTATACATACAGATATTTGTACATGTTTAATCAACTGTATCGTTTGCGATACATGTACCCATTGATTACATTGTGTTTGACAGCATTTTGGAAAACATGCTTTTTTTGGCATGTAAAAAAATGTGCATAGGTTGCCAAGCATACTTTGCTGTTCTTCCACAGAATAAGTCACAATACCAGGAGCATAGAGAGTTGTGGCTGCAAACTGTATGAACTCTGTCCTCAGTTCTAGAAACTGTGGGTAAACCTATGAGGAGAAAAAACACGATGAAGCATATTTCTCACATATATCTAATTACAAGTCTGACAGAAATCTTCTCAATGCCTTTTCCTGGAATTTTCTCAGAGGCAGGAAAAGTTGAATCTATTGTTAATTTGGCTGACAGTTAGATTCTGAGTGTTGTGGTCCAAATGTTAAGCATTTTCGCCGCCTCTGGATTTTTTTCTGCTCATGTCTGTTAAAAGAACTACAGTGGGGTCTTGACTTAAGAACGGCTTGAGTTAAGAACATTTTGACTTAAGAACCACTCTCACAGGAAAATATTGACTTGACTTAAGTACTTAGATTTGAGTTAAGAACTGAAAAAAAACCATGTGGGAGGCAGGGAAAGTGCAAAATTTGAACTTTCAGTTAACTGTTGGCCAGTGAAAAGGGTGCCTGTCTGCTTCCTCACTCCTCCCAGCGTTTAGAGAGTGGATTGGGAGACAGTCTTCGGACTGCCTGGTACTGCCTGGACTGTATTTTCCCTGCCTTCCCTGAACCTTTCTTGACCTAAGAAAAAAAAGAAACAAAATATCCCCCTCTAGTGGTCGAAGGCGGAATAGCAGCTTCCCATTAGTTTCTATGGACGGAAAAGAGCAGATACGGATCAAATGGTTTTCAATGCATTTCTATGGGAAATGCAGATTTGACCTGAGAACTTTTTGACTTGAGAACCGCCTTCCAATACGGATTAAGTTCTCAAGTCAAGACCCCACTGTAGATCCTTTAAGTGTTAGTTGTTATGTGCCTTCAAGTCACCCCCAACATGGGCGAACCCCATGAATGAGAGACCTTGAAAACGTCCTGTCTTCATCTGCCCTAATCAACTCTTGTAAACTCAAGCCTGTAGTTCCTTTAGGAAGTCAATCCATCTCATATTTGGCTTTCCTCTTTTCCTGCTGCCATCAACCTTTCCCAGCATTTCCATCTTTTCCAGAGAATCCTGCCTTCTCTTAATGTGCCCAAAGAAGGACAGCCTCAGGTTCAACGTTTTTTGCCTCCAGAGATAGCTGAGGCTTGATCTTGTCTCAGACCCACATGTTCATCTTTCTTTCAGTCCAGAGCTCTTTTTCTGTATGTGTATCCTGTGAGAATCAAAACTTTCCCATATCAGCATCCTGAGAAAGTAATGGAAACTTCCAAAGACACTTCCTGTGCTCTCTGGACTAATCATATGGAGCTTTAGTGTGCCAACACTGTCAAACAGCACAAAATTTACAGCTCTATTGTGGTCACTCTCCATGCAGTAGGCCGAAACACTTGAATAAATTTCTTAAATGGGAGAAGGATCGATGCCATGGCCTTGTAGGTGGCTTAACAATAATAAGTACTCATTAAAGCACCAAAAGAGTCAGAAAAAAATTGCTGTGTAAAATATAAAGTAGTAGCGTTAAATGATTCCAGAAACCGTTCAGTTTATTAAATGGGAGACCATCAC